ACTTTGATGGTCCGTGTCTCATGTGAATGCGTCCTGCTTTGCTTGTCTCGTCAGTCCTGATTTCTCCCAGCTGTGCCCTCCTTCTGTGTCTCATTCCCCTCGTTACTTCCCATTCCCCTCGTTACTTCCCAGTGTATTTAAACCCTGTGTTTCTCTGAGTCAGTGTCGCGTCGTCCCTCATGCTGTGTGGATCTTCCTGTGAGTTCTTAGTTTGTGGTTTCCCAGTTTAGTTTAGTTTGTATGTTTGTTCTACCGGCAAATAAAGCTGAGTTTTGAGTTCACCTCCCTGAGTCTGAGTCCTGCCTGCCGCACAGCGATTCCTGACAGTTATAGCATTACAAAAAAGGACACAGTTATTAGTGTAATGGGTCAGTGCAATATCAGGACAGGACTTATGTGCAATATAACTGGTGTGTTTCCATTATTGTTTTCTATATTGGCCTATGTTGTCCACTCTTGTTGTCATTGTTTGTTCTAATATAATGTGATCACTGTTTTTGTCCTAGTCTCTATATACATGGTCTGTAAATGATCTGTATGTTTTTATACAGAGGGTCTGCTGATGGAAATGAGCCAAAAGCTGTTGTTATGGTCTGGGTGAAGCACCTGTGTTCCTGGTGTCTTCACCCCTGGGCGGGGCCCCTTCGTTTCCACCGACTAGCTGCACCTGTGAGCAATGAGGCTGCAGAGATATAAGACCAGCAATCCACCATTGCCAGATTGTCTGTGAATCTGCATTAGTGAAGGTTATTGCAGTAGTTGAATGTTGCCATTGGTTTAGTGGAATTAATTATTTGCTCACAGTCAAGCCTCCAGATGACAGGTTGCCTTTACCTCACTGTGTTTGACCGCTGGATTACTTGCAGCTCCACTAGATATGCTCACCTGCCCAGCACATGGACCGTGCACTAAGATCTCTCTTTGTTTCCCGCAGACCGTCTCCCCCTCTGTTTCGCCTCTGCCTGTAGAGAGTAAGGCTACGTACATGAGTATGTTTGAAAATGGAGATTTTCAGGGTGTTTTGTTTTAACTCCCGTCCACACGTGAAGTTTTGAAAAAAAAAAATCTCCGTCCACATGAAAACACTAAAATGAAAGTCTAAACAGAGTTTTGTGCCCTCACAACCTGAAGTGCTTCTGAAAAGTTTTTGTTTTTCTGAAAAGGGATAATTTTGGGTTACTTTTCATGTTCCAGTGCTTCAAATGTTAATGACCAAAGAGAGTATTTTGGTTCATCTACACTGACAACCTAGGAATGAACAAAATACATACAGCATACATAAATGTAATTTAAAAAAAAAATTTTTTTAAAGTGAATTTATTCAAAACCGACATCGGGATTTGGGTTGTGAGAGCGTCTGTGTTGAATGTAGAAGTCACGTAAGAAGTTCACTCTGACGCCTCTTTCTACATAGTGACAGTAACTGTGTGTGTATATGTAAGCATGTAAAATTGCAGATGGTCAGATTAACAGCAACAGTATTTTGTCTAAAGCCCGCCATTGTAGAAATGTATCTCATTTCAACAATAACATGGCGCACAGAATGACGTCAAAAACGTCACAAAACGTGATGCAAAAACTGAGTTTTTGAAAATCTCCACACTGCCAGAAAAAAAAAGTGTCTTCAGTGACACCAAAATGCTTTTTACGTGTGGACGAAAGGCCCAAACGCATAGAAAAATCTGCGTTTTGAACGATACCCGTGTACGTGTGTAGCCTGAGACCGTTTACCAATGTGACTTTTTCTGGGATCTGCATCTGGGAATGTAACCGACCTCCTTGTGTCCTTATTTCAGTGACGTCCCTTTCTCTTCCACCCCAATTCCGGGGTTCCTGCTCTGGATGTTACCCAGTGTTGCCCCCCCCATCTCCATCTCCATGACAGCCACGCCTCCCTCGTGTACTCCCTCACTGACCATTTCATGTGTAATACTGATTGTGTGACCCACGTAGTGCTTCTCCCAAGAGGACAGCATCAATGATATTTGTCTTGAGTGTTTTGTGTTATCCTCGTGTAACATTCAGAGGTCATAGGAAATCTGAGCTTACCTCTCATTCATAGTTTGTCTCAGGGACATTCATAGTTGTTGGCTGTTTCTGCCTCAGCTTTTTCGCAGCACGACGTGTTGATAATTGATCAGAGATGATAGTTGAGCTATTGGTTGAAGTCTACAATGATCTGAAAGCCTCCAGTCTATATTTAAGTTGTCATCCTGAGTTCACGCCAAATCACGTAATCGCACCAAAGCATCGTTTTTATTTGCATTTTTCTCCTGTCTGTTCTGTGACGTACTGTAAATAAAGTTTTGAACTCCTTCCTTCACGTCACGTGGGTCTGAGTGGACGTGACAGCTATCATCTGGCATATTTACATTTGTTAAAATGTTCATTAATATCTATCGTCCCCCTTTTAAATTAAATAAAAAAAAATTTTTTAAAAAGGGTCACCGACCCAGATCCGTGACAACTGTAGCTCGTCTAGCTGTAATGTTCAGATTTGTTATACTGGCGTGCTCTTACACTACCACAACCTCGTCTTTCTGTGGGGAAATGGTCAAACAACTGTTTGAGAACTTTTGAGATTGCATGCCTCAGCAGAAGGAAAACTTAAAACTGAATCAGGTACACACAAAGGCAAAGATCTAATTTCAAAACAGAAGTCCTTTTATTGTAAAAGATAATTTAATAACATGGGATTTACACATTTGTTGACATTTGTAAGGAATTGTTCTTACGTGTGTCTTGAGAGTGACTGACTAACTTCAGTCACGGTTGGAATTTGGTATTGGACTGGTAATCATCAATATTGGCTTGTCCTGTACATTTTATAAAAAAACAAAACCTAAATGCAGCTTCATGTTGGTATTTATGGTTTAAATACAAATCAAACTGTCAGGAATGGACTTCAGCCCCCTACCTGCAGGTAAAAGCATTTGGTAAAAGTTACAGGCGCCTGTGGTATCAGTTATAACGGCACAACAATGCATGCAACAGCTAGGAGCTGCAAAGATGGCGTAAAGCTGCAATGCCCACAGCTCAACACAGGCACTAACATAACCCAGTATATGACACACAGGACGCCCAGGGTTTTTTTCGTGGCTGTCTTAGGAACCCTTATCCGTACTTGTCCTTTGTCCTCTTCCGAATTGTCTTCCTGTGTGGGTAATGTGGTTCTGGCACCACCAGCACCTTCATCCTGAGGGAGGCTCCCCATCTGGTACAAATATGAATATAAATATGTTTGTAAGTAAAATTGATCTATATAGCACTTTTTAAAACAGGAAGTTATTTCAAAGTGCTTCACATGGGAATAAAAGCATATCAATCGAAACCATAAAACACTATAAAGAGGGTATAACAGCATATCCAATAAAACTGTTTACTACACATGAATATTACCTAAATGCCTGTCTCAACAGATGTGTTTTGAGCTGTTTTTTTTTTTTTTTAAAGTAGCTGCAGAGTTGATGGTGCGTCGCGGGGAGGTAAACTGTTCCACAATATTGGAAGGTTTGAAAAGAGCGATCTCCCTTCGTTTTCAAACGGCTCTGTGGAATGGTTAGAAGACCACTATCAGTGGATCTAAGGAGCCGGTTTGGAGAGTAGGGTTGGAGAAGCTCAGTGATATAAGTGGGGCCTCACCTTGTAGGGACATGTAAAAGTGAGGATTTTAAACTGATATCTGTACTCAACCGGAAGCCAGTGCAAGGATTTTAACACAGGGTGATATGGGAGAATTTATGACTGTGGGATAAAAGCCTTGCTGCGGCATTTTGGACCGTTTGGAGGCGATTTAGGGAAGCCTTAGACAGACAAGAAAAGAGTGCATTACTGTAATCTAAACGAGAGGAGATGAAGGCATGGACAAGCATCTCCAGTTCACCGTTGGTTACAATAGTCCTGAGTTTGGCAATGTTTCTTAGATGAAAAAAGCAGGAGCGGGTCACAGACTTGATATGAGCATCAAACGACAGTGATTGATCAAAAATTATCCCAAGATTCCACTGAATTTATCTTGGAAAAATCCTAGAAAGTCATTGCAGTGCTTATCTGAAAAGACAGGTGTGCACGGAGTTGTGGGGGAGACTATGTTATTTACTGTGTCGAAGAGAACCTTAGGATTTCTTTTTCCTACTGCGAGTAGTTCAGTGAAATAAGTGGCTCTCGCATCTTTCACCATGTTTTTGAAGGTAGATAATAGTGGAGCTTATGAACTTCAAGTTTTGTGGCTTTTCACAGGCGCTTAGTTTTACGGCAAATTCACCTAAAGCTGTGAATAGCTTCTGTGAACCAGGGCAGTGATTTAGTAGTGCTGCCGTTTGTTCATGTTGGACTAAAAGATTATATATGAAAGGAGTGCAACCAATCAAAACTCTCACTTTTGGGATTCGGGGCACACATACCTTGTTATTCAGACACTGGGAGAGCCATCTTTCTAGAAGCTCCTCTGGTCCTGATGACTCCTGCTCTTCCTGGTCAGATCCTTGATTGTCTTTGTCCTGCATAGATTCTCTGTCCTCTCTCCTTTTCACTTTCTTTGCTGCATATGTTGAAAATGCATTCGTTGTCAGTGCTCAGCTCTGGAGGGTGTCCTCTGCAGGGTCCTTAAGCTGTGCAAAGCAATATTGCTCATTATTAATAAATGTAAGTGTACAGATAAATGTATAACATAAACAGGTCTGACTTGTTTAAATAACCTTGGTAAACCCTTTTGGCTGTGATGGCATCACAGCACATAAATGTTGCCACTGTGTCGTTAAGTTTTACGTCCCAACTGTTGCTTGGCCGGGAAGAATAATTAATGTTTTAAAAAGAAACCACATGAATAAATTCCATGACACTTCAACCCTACTTCATAGTATGTCTAAAAAATTAAAGGTTTTCTTACATAAGTGCTACTGGAGAAATATAGCATGTTGAATGTGGGTGCAGTCCCCATATTCATCTTCTCCCAGGCTGCCTTGAAATTTCCGGTAGCTTATGATGAACACCTCCATTGGAACTGTGGGGAAAAAGTAGATGCCTCCGAACTGCCTTCAATATTTTCTCTAATAGCTGTAACGCTGCAACCAGGCGTGCTCGTTCCTATAGAGGGACCGCTGCTTGCCCATGGTACTTTTGAGTCTTGTGCTGTTCAACCTAATAAATCAAAAGACATGTTCATTCTCTCTGATCAGCTGACTAAACAATGTATATGCCTCTTAGGTAACTATAACTCTTATAGTTTTCGTACTTACGGATGATGTGGGCACCATGCTTAGTTTTTTTCTACCGTTTAAACCCCCTCTGATTCACTGATAACACAGCCCCCCCATTCCAAGGGCTTTCCCTCTATAAAATACCACTGTGCAATACTTCATTTTCTCTCTATCTCATTGTACATCTAAATATTCTATTCCTCAATACTCATGTTGATGGCCACACCCTTTCGGTGGCCAGTTATGGAAATGATGTATCCACCCACCCGTCCAAAAAACAATTTTACTTTTGATCCGATCTGGGGTTGCTTCTCGAGTTTATCTGTAGAAGCAGAAATAGAACATTGTATGCATTAGCATGTCATGCTAATACATATAGTGCATTTACATGTGCAGTTCTTTTGTGCAGATTATAGAGGGACTTTATAAGCACCATTTCTCAAGGACCACAAGAGCACCACAAAGCACCAAACACATTTTCCAGAATAACCATACACACAAACCCAGTTTTCAGTTCCAAGTCCCTGTAATGTGTCATGAGACCTGGGGTTAAAGTCCCACCCCCTGGTCGCCTCTACATCACAGCTAAGAGAAGTTCAAATGTCTTAAAATCAAACAAATGTGATAAAAAAATATTCAAAGTGATAAAACAGAGCTTTTCTCTATTTCCACTAATGCAAACGTGCTGATCATTTCAAATAAGAAGTTGAATAAAAAAAAAAGGTAATTAACAGAGTTAATTACAGTACATTAACATTAACAGTAATCCTAGTGGATATAACACTCTCCTTTATGCTGTTTCGCAGATAAACCTGTGTCTTACCAAATCTTTTATGTTCTGAACTGTTCTTCCTGCCAACACTGGTTCCTCTGCCAGTTTCCAATGACTGCATTCATTTCTGGTGGCCAGTTTCCCTTTGTTTATGTGGTCATTAAAATGCTTCATCACTGCAGCAACCTCAGCCTTGGACCACCTTTTTTATGGGAGCTCTTCTTGAATCACAGGCTTGAGCAGCATTTTTATCTGGAAGAAGCAGAAAATTGTTGGAATATCCAGCAACTGATCTCCTCAGTTTTAAACATTTGTTGATTGTTGTTAAAAGAAGGGATGCTACCCTCTCCCAACTTCTGAGGTGTGTTGCTACCATCAATATCAAAATGAGCTAATGTTCGCTTTAAATATTACATTGTCTCATTTTAGACATTTGATACATTTTCAGTGTTCTAGTGTGATAAAAGATAAGTTGAATGCAAGTTTTGTGATGCATGCTCAATCATTAAGCCAAGTTCGTCCCAAAAGGTTGATTCTGTTCGTCTGGACGCAGCGTTTCGTGACGTTCCTCCCACTGAAAACAATATGTCCAGATGAACAGAATCAACCTTTTGGGATTTACTTACCTTAATGATTGAGCATGCATCCTGTGAGCACCATAGTATGTCTTGAAATAGTCAGGGGACACCCTGCCCTAAAAATGTTTGTCCGCTGTCCTTAACCTTGAGCTTCTGAAAATAATGGACTACATTTAATGGCTACAATGTGGTGATTCTGTTAAATCCCTTGAATTAAAGCTGAAAGTCTACACTTTTAATCACATATTGATTGATTAATTTTAAAATCCATTGTGGTGGTGTAGGTGTACAGAGACAGAAATACAATAAAATTACAAAGAACGTGTCCATCAGCTTAGGGAACCAACTGTACCTCATTTTATTGATTCTGTCTTATTCTATTTTAAATTTATATTTTAAAACACATAAGGGTACTTAGACCTAAACTTCCCTTACCTTCAGAGGGAGCGGCAGTTTCATTGCTGTAGGCATCCATAGTAGCACTTCATTTGCTGGTTACACATTTTGATTAAGTTTTAATATTCGCAACAAACACATTTTATCCACTGAAACCAAAATAGTCATAACTTACCACAATCTCCAGTGTCTTGGACCTGCTCTGCGTTTGTGGACTCGGCGACTGCATGCACAGGCTCACGTGTACCACATGCCGACGTTGCGAGTTCTGTAGCATCATCATCGGATTCAGTCCCACTCTCACATGATAAAATACAGAAGAAAGTTAATACTGGAAATAACACTTTTATCACGGTACATAGGTGTACATGGGCCACCACTCTGCTAAGTTGCAAAGTGATGAAAGAAAAGACTTCAAGAACCTTAAAACACGGACAATTCTGTTAATTGTCCGTGTTTTAAGGTTTTAATTCTGTTGATTAAGGATAATGTTCAACTCCTGCCTAGCCCTAATATTTGCTCCTTTCAATACAAACCTTGAATTTCAATCTCATCCAGTGATTTTCCCTGGATCATGGAAAGTCTTTTCTCCATTGATAAAAGAAGTTTGGAAATCTTGGCCAGCTGTGCTGCTTGGATTATCGTTATGAAATTTAATGTACTTCTAAGGTGGAAGGGTTTTTTTTTTTGGTCTTGTTTTACTCTTTTGCTTCGAGCACTATGTAAATGGAAAGATCTTTATTCTGTATTCATTCAGAGACTTGAATGCTAATGAAAAAGAAAAAGCTGTGGCTTCGTTCTCCAAGTAACAAAAGGCATTTGCTGCAGATTTTTGAAAGTAGTGAGGGAGAATCTGAACATCTTCTGTGAAGGGCAATGTTTATACTTTGTCTCACTCGATGTGTTCAAGGCACAGCGAGACAATTTGAGGCTTACAACTTCTTGAACGTGTCAATGGACTTGATTAGGGCTTAATCCTCTGCCATGAGGGCTCGACAATGGATAATGTCAGAGATTTTGTGTAGTGTATGTCCCAGTTTTTGTGCAAGGCTTGTGAATGACAGTGTCTCTTCAACGAAACCTGAAGCTTTCTTTACCGCTTGCACAACTCTCTGGAAGTTAGCAGACGTAATGGCTTTCTCCATGTTATGCACTAAGAATTCTGCACGCAGACACAACAAATATCCCACTTCACTAAGCTTCTGTCGAATATATTCTTACTTTGTGGGGCCTTTTCCGTGTCATCTTTTGGTTTGTTAATACATCTGCGGACATGTCTCCAAAGGTCCTTCCGAACATACATCCCTTGACAGTAAAAGCAATAAACAAACTTCCCTCTACTGCTTTAGTCTTGGGTCTTCTGTTCACTGTCATTGGTCCCATTCCACCATGCAAAACTGCAGAATTATGCTTAAAATTTCCCTTATTTCTCGATTTCTGTAACAGGATTTTATGCTCCAGGGAGGGAAAATACATGCACAACATCAGGAGCCATTTTGTGTGTTTTCAGGTTTGTGTTAGTTTAGCTTTTGAAATTTTAGTTTGTGGTTTGAGTGGAAAAATGATTGCCATTTTTGTGGCAAAGTCAGTTTTTCAGATTTAGTCTTGCAAAGCTCGGTTTTATCTTCTGGCTTTTCCTCAGTCAAGTTGTAGATGGAATTTGTTGAATCTGATTGTTCATTTGCTGTGGGGATGTCATCTTGGCATAGCAGATCTTTTGATGTGTTTGGCATAACTAGGGTGCTTGTGTCTGATGATGTCACTACAGAGATGAATACAGACCACACGGTTTTTACTGCCCTATGGATTGCCAAGAAAATGGTCCTCATGAACTTTAAAAATAATATAAATTCTAACCAATATGGAGACCATCTGATAGATCATATTTATCTTGATACAGCCTCTGCCACCACATTAGATCAATCCCTCTGGGCTCCTTTGATCAGCTCCATCACCTAGTGGGGGTGGGGAGTCATAGTTTTGTCCCGCCTTCGCTATTGTGGTTGTTTTGGGGGCAAGTACCAGCTTGGGGTGTCTGGGGATTCCCTAGGGATGTTTTTCCTGTAGGGCTCAATCCAGGGGCTGTGGTCATGACCTGGTTGGGGCTTCGGGGACTGGTGCATCAACAGAACTGGGGGCCTCTTCAATTGGCAGGGAGGTTACATCGTTGCAGGAGGTCTCTGCTCTCCAGGAGTTCACTCTGTAGGTGGGGGAGAGATACTGGGTGTCTATTGTCTTATGTAGTCTGGGATACGATTAAATGATGGGGTGTGTGTAGTTTCCTCTGCGGTGGGGTCGGATGGGCTGCCCCAGGCCCATATCAATCTTGCATATCAAACCATGTCAATGTGACATTGAAAAAGAGGCAAATCATCTGTAAACAGTTGTTTAAATGTTGCTCTATTAAAAGCTTCAGTCTGGAGAGAGTTGAGACAGCAATATTAGGCAAAAAAGGAATTTTTACGATCTCTAACATCTTACCTAGCATTTGTGTGTAATGATTTTCTCCAATTTTGTCAATAAGAAATGGCAGGATTTTTAAGAAAACCAGCATCTGCCCAGCTGACTGTTTCAATTTATTGTCATTGTTGACAGCGTATACTGACAGATATGGGACAAAGCTTATCCCTCACATCCACAGGAGAATAAGGAAAACGCAGAATTGCACTGTTGAATGAATCTAAGTTCATTTGCCCTGAAAGCGCAAGATTCTTTAAAACACATTTGACTTCATATGAGGCAACACCTTCAAGAAAAACATGCATGGTGTCTTGTGGGGTTTGATTACATCAACGTGAGGAGATTCTGTTAACTTGCTTCTCCTGTTTATACCATACGTTATATTAAAATTGTCTTTCAAAAAGTCAGTATTTGCCTTTTCAGTGTCATTACATTTCTTGTAATGACTGGCCATGGTCCTTTTAACAAACAAATCGTCATTAAATTGTTCCTGCATGTCTTCAGAGTGGCATTCGCAGTGCCTGCATTTACTGTAGGCAAAACCCACTCCTTCCTTGAATCCAGCCACTTCATGCTGAGCTAGAGAGTCTCCACACACAGATATGAGTGCCCAGTGAATTGTCCTCTCACCACTTGCAGTGACAACTCGGACACCATCACACAGCTCAATTAAATCACCATTAATCCTCTCAAACATCTCATCCATAGCACAACAAGGAAGATCTTTTGATTTTACCATGGCAAGCAGAAGCAGGAAGTCTTGATCTGTACTTAGGACTGATGTTACCTAAGGTGTAATAAATCACTAACAACTAGTTCCATTTTATCTGTATATAAAATCAACCACAATGCTGTGCGGACTTAAAAATGTCTCCATCAATGAAATGATGAAAAAAGCCATCCTTGCATGGGCCTCTCGTCAATCACTGCAAGCATTCTTGGCTGTGATAGCAGCTGCTCTAAACTTTTCACCAACGGTATATAATGAAAACAATGGTCCTTAACGGCAAGAACTCTGGAGTCTCCACTATTCATGTCACTGTTTGCGGGGAAAGCCGTGTGAGGTATGAATGAAGGACCCAAAGCGCAGGCACTGACTGAGATGTAAGTGAGCTTTAAGGAGAGTGACATACAACCAAAAGCGGAAGCAGAACTCAGAAATAATCTAAACAGGAAAAACTAAGACCTAAACTACAAACCTGAACACGAGAGGTTGGAGCGCGGAGGTAACACGAAGACCGACAAGCAGGAAGAACAGCATGGAGGGACACAGACGGACCAGTAACGCACACAAGAGGACACATGCTATAAATACACACAGAGGGAAACGAGGAGACTGCACACAGGAGGGACACACAGCTGAACCTGATGAATCTGACGAGACAGGGATGATGCAAACTGAATACACTGACACAGGACACAGACCTTCACAGTGAGACAGGAAACTCAACACACACGCAAAGACACAGACTAAGAAACACGGGCTTTACACAGAGGAAACACACAGGCCGGGAATGACAAGATGCAGAACGAACTAGAAAGTCTCAACCAGAATACATAATAATAATAAGAAGAAACACAAAAGGCTGGGTCAAAAGACCCAGGCTACGACACTTCACATAACATACTGTATGTTTTGCAACAATAATCTCTGGTTCAACTGGTTTTAACAGTTCTTTGATGGTCTTGTCCTGCAAATGGGTGGAAGCAATTTGAATGAAAGGGTCAACACACTGGTCAAATACCCCCATTGCATCATCTTTAGTTGATCCAGGTCCCCAGAATGTCTCTCAGTCATTTGTTGTTT